CGGGACACATTGGTGGAAGGTGAGCGATTTCCCCACTGCGCCATCCCTGCTCCCCTAAAAAAGAGAGATCTTTGAAGCTAGTGTGTAAATTATCTGCAGGCAAGTTATGATAAATGGCTAACTCTTACCTCTAAATCACACAACAAGTCTTTGAATGCCACTCTGTTAGGTATAACTGACGACTCCCTGTCACTGTCTACTGTTCCAACCAAGGCAAATGTTAAGTGAAGAATGTGCGTGTTCAGCAAGTGTTTCTTCCTCCGAAGTAGCAACGCTAAAATCTGTAATTAACACAGTCAAGGCTTAAAGTGAACTTAAGTCACAATATATGACTAAAACAATAACATTATAATAATTAGGTTTTAGAGTAGAGAAAAATGTTAAAAAGATTTTACAATTAACATGACATCATTACAAAGCTGTATGGAAAATAGATGGATTTTGAAACCTTATTATGCTGAATCTCGAGCAGTTTTCAATTGAGTGTCGTAAAATCGAAACCAAACCAATTACTTACCAGGTACACTACTCAACAAATCTCAAACCGTAGTAAAACCAAAACCAAAGTAATTGCCTGACTTCTTCCGACATTCAATTGAAAACTGCTCTGTAAAGCAAGTCACTACTTAAATAAGAGAGATTAAGTGAAAAGTGGTGTAAAACAAGCAAGGATTTTCAAGACAACTTTCCAAATGATGACTTTATCAACACCTAATTTCCTAATTTCCTAATATATTTAGTATTTTCCAAAGGAAGGGGAGAAATATTAAAATTGAATTTTGATGAACGTTGTTTTTATTTGTGTACCTGGTAACCTCTCGTTCTCTCCATGTCTCTTCTCGCCGACGGATTACTTCTAAGAACACAGCTTAACGCCTTGACAGATGCGTAAAGCCCTTCAACGTCAGTTGCCATAGCAACCAAGCCCAGCAGGGCCGACACACCACCGATACACTCTATCAGCTTAGAAACTGGGTTGGGACAAAAAGTCCGTACTCCAGAACAGCCAATGATGACTGCACCGATAGTCCGTGAGGTGCCTTGGAGATGGGCTGCAGTGTTGTGAATCAGTCGCACAGGTGTGGTGTTATCATGGGTTGACAGACCAAGCTGAAGAACAGATCAAGAGAAAATAAGTATAGCACATATCATTATTATATCTCTCAGTTATTATGCATGCGGTGATTGATCAATTTAGCGGGATGAATTCTATTATACGGTTCGCTCAAACTGGAAGTTGTTTTGTTTCCAATAGATCGCATAATTTATCATCTTTGTAGGTTCATGGCAAATCAACTTTAATACGTTACTTCAAATTTTGATAACATATATTAACTTATGACGTGCTAACGACTTAACAATGATTTCAAACTGAATGTTTTTGCCTTCGACGTACGTCAGTCACTTGAGTCCGTTCTGCGCGAGTTGAACCGTTCGACACACAGTACACACATACTAAGTATCTTTCTAACAGAGTACTAATCCAATAAGGCCATCTTCTAGCGAGACCGACTATTTGCATCTCACATGGTTTTGGCTGAAAACCTGAATGAACAATTGATTCAACGCAAGTGCAACCTTCTGAATAGCCTAATAGAACACACTAAAAGATAACCAGTTGATGCCGGTTGAATAACCGTACGTCGAGTAAACGTTCATATGTTCAACTGATTTTTGCACCAAGTAGAGACTGATCAAGTAATACCTCTTTAGCCACAGCTCGGGTGTCACTTTTCCTGAAGTGTTTTCTAATTTTTGCGAGAGTGAGCACTGACTTAGCATGTCCATGGATTCCAAACATGACCTTTTCTTCACTCACAAGCGGCTCAACACTCTCAGTGCCATACTGCAGGTCAAGCACAAAAAAAAATAATTAGCACTGTTGTGCTGATTGGGGACACTGTAAATAAGAAAACAAATAAAGCAAACTCTGATGGAACATAAACTATTAAGACCCCAACTGGTGGGAAGCTTACCAGTTGGCTAAAAAAAAACGTCCAACCACGCACTATTAACGTTATAATTCTCATCAAGCGGCTTTGCAAAATAAACATAGCGGCGCGCGGAATTTTTTTAAAATCCCAAAATAATTGAGAGGGAACGCCAGTGTTCGAAACAGCCAAAGAATTATCGACTTCAAATCGCTGAAACAATTTAACACAAGCACCAGCTTGTGATCTGGAACAAAACTGTTCTTTAGCCAAGATTTCTTTAATATTCTCAAACTCATTAATAATTCATCAAGTTAAAACAAAGAAAATCACAACCGTGAAGGAGGTTTCGATACCCGGTCTTAATAAGCGTAGATTTTGACTATTTTACTTCTCCGTTTACTCCTTAGTTTTTGTTTCGATTGAGAAGATATATCAAACACTCGAGAAAGTGTTTTATAGGTTATCCAAACACCTCGAATTTCGTCAAGAATACTCCGCTGCGCGTTTTTTTCTTAACTGTCGTCTTGGTGTTTGGATATCCTGACGAAACACTGTCTCTCGTGTTTGATATATTACGTAATGTCACATTGTAATGTACTGTGAAACAGAAAAGTGGAGTAAGGACATAGAAAAAGATAATCTACATCAAACGCCTGCAAGGCACGTAGGGAAATTGATGATCTCGTACAATCACAACTCCGAGATGTATGCAACTTACCACCCTGACTTGACCTTCAGGACAGGGAGCCTGGAAACTACCAACATAGTTAGGTCCCAGTCTAAACATTTCATCGGCTGTTGAGCCAGACAGTGGTTCTTCTATCAGATGAGTGGGGCCCAGTCTCCACAACAGGCGCGAACATCTGCGATAGCTCGGGTTAGGTGGAGTACCGACATAGGCTGAGATGTACGGCGCCACATTGACCACTGCCGCGTCTGGACTAACGGCAGCAGCCTGGATATATTTCAGCTGAAAATGTATTTTGAAAGTAAAATTTATTTATATATATATATAGATCTAGCACTAGGGTCCAAAGAAGGTTAATAATAATAAAAAAGCAAACTTACAAAACAGGAAGTAAAAGATCCTGGGGGTACTCCCAGAAAAATTCGGTGGGGGTGTGCGGCCAGCTTCCTAAAGCCCTTAACCTATTTATGACTAAAATCTACGATTTTCCCTACCCTTCCCCTACCCTATTTGAGAACTGACAAAAACACTGGATTCCCTATTTATGACCATTGCGTCTGGCACAGTTGCCTTAGACATAGTTTATGAAGGGCTTTTGTTGATGGCCTTATCGATAAAGATGACAAAGAAGCTTCTTCTAAAAAACATATCCAATTCAAGACTAGACTGCAAAAACCATACCCTACTTATGACCAAACTGGCCAAAATCGATGCCCTATTTATGACCGAAATGGATGAAAAACCAAACTCTTTGGGGCCGCACGTCCTATATAGCCTACATAAGGGAGTACCCCCCCGGATAGAAGATAAACATTTACCCAATAAGGCAATCTTTAACGATGTCACTGTTCACCTTTTCTAGTATCTACACTTTGAAAGATATCATAAATAGAAAGAGTATGTCAAATTTGTTTGTTTCAATGGTTCATTGTAATCGTGGTCCCATATTTAAATCAATCTTGCAAGCATTCCAATACATCTGAACGCAATTTTGGCAGCTGCAGAGTGGCAGCTTATGCCATGAGCCCAGAAAAATATCTCTTAATTAGATATCTTTTGAACAGGAAGCATCTTGTTTAATATTCTCGTTTAAGTTTAAAATTCAACGAATTCCCTCACCTTACAGGTGTTGACATGCTTTCCATCCACAAACAAAGCACAGGTGCTATTTCTTATCAACGCTTTGTTTAACACGACCATCACGTGATGCCATCTTCCCTCCTCTAACAACTGGTCGCTTAGAAACCTGGCTTCTGTGTGCTCACGTTCACGTTGAACCTGCATCACTGGTAAGTCGGCACCATCCTCACACCCACCTTCATCTGTACAAACCTGGGGTCAACCACAAAACAAGGTTAATGCATTTAAAAGTGCTAGAAACTGAACAACATGCCCACTAGCCTTTAAGCTACTGGAAATTCATATAAAGAATATCCTTGACCCTTGTGGGATTTGTGTGTTTCCAAGATGACCTCATGATCAAATCACTACCAACTTAACCACAGATGTTCTAAGATGACGGGAACAAGTTGTGGTAATTTGCAGATTCTAGAAACTGGTAAAATAATGGGACGGGGTCGGGACGCACATCATCTTGCCTAGGAGTATAAATCAAGGATTCTGGAGGCAGCATGGCCCAGAGGTTAGGGCGGAGGTCGCGGGTTCAAGTCCCGCTCTGACCACTAAGCTGGAGNAGTAAAACACTTTGTAGTGTGACTAAAGTTGTATTAAACAAAATATCACATACCACAAGCATTCTATCCCTGGCCGAGATACTGATGCTTAAACATGGCACATTGGGATTTTTTTCACTTCCGCTACGAAACTGTCGCATGATCGTCAAGAGCCTGACGGGATGCTGGTCCTCAGTGGTGTCACTGTACTGGTCGATGCAAATCCAGCAAACAAATGTCAATCCTGCCTGAGGGGGGAACATTCGTTCCCCCACCCCTACTCCAGGCACCCCACCCATTACCACTGATGGAGCCATCACTGAGCTAACAGTTGCAATACCTGTAAAGGCAATAAGCATTTGTTTGTTTACGAGACTACGTCAGTGTGCAAGTCCTGACTGATAGCCTACTATAGCAGATTTTCCATCAGGCTACCAAATTCTGTTTGTCACTTGCGGGGCAAGGTTTCTAAGGAAAGTGTTTGAGAAAATTCAAAATGGAGATAAACTTTTGAAGGGGGGTGGGGAGGGGGGGTGCTAGTATGCAGGACTTTCAGGTAGTGCATCATAGTTAGAGCTTGCCCGAAGAGCATTTGAATCTGATATTTGTTTTCTTTGTGCCCCGTACATGATAATGAAGTGTGTGGTTTAGTGGTAAAAGTGCAAATTGAGGGCAAAGCTTACCAGCTGAGATCTGTGGAGCAATGGCTGGGAGAAACAGACAACCAAACCCATCCACACTCATGTCAAACTCCACAAAAGATGGACAGTCTGTTGCGCCATGGGCCCGTGCATCCCTTGGAGTTGTCATGGAAACCACACACTTAACACGAGTGAGTGACACAGCTCCTCCTCCATGTGGCTGGCAGGACATTTCCTCTACATCGTCCTTTTCAACATCTTCAGCATCCTCAGCTTCGCCATTTAATGAACTTATTTGCCGATTGACGTAGCTACCAACTTGAGGGTCCGGAAGAGATTCTGCAATCTGTGACAATTTCATACTGAATTCATCAAAGCTCATTTCTGCAGCTTTGTGTGGGCTGGCAGCAGTATCATTAACAGCTTCTGCACTCACCAAGTTTACATCATCATTATCAGATGCGGCATCATCATTTGTTTCAGAATGTTTTCTTTCAGGGGATTCGTCTGTTGAGCTGTCACTGATGGCTTCCTTGGCTTCCCCTTTTAAATCTAAAATAACTGTGTCTTCCCCCTGGTCTATGTAAGAAACCTCCTGAGCAGTGTTACCAATTGTGTCAATATCCACTCCGTCAACTTCAGCTGTCATTACATCTTTTAGCTCGATCCCATCACTAGTTTCCACAGTAACCTGATAATCTTGACAATAACTGAGATTACTGTCCAAATCGAGGGCTCCTTCGAAGGAACGTCTTTTGGAATTGGCTTTAGACCTTCTTGGAGGTGGCTGGGGAGGTGTGTCATCACTCTCGGTGTTTACGTCCTCATTTTCACCAGAACCACTGTGACCAGGATCTAGATTTGCATTTTGAACAATCAAGTATTCATCCTCGTCAGAATTTGATTCCACATCAGAACCTGATTCTGAGCTTGGCTGTATCATGCTAAGCATCACATCTCTAAATGTCAGTGTGTTTGAATGAGAATCTGTGTCTGAGAGTTTTCTGTTGACGATATCTGACACTTTCCTGGGTGTTACTTCTGAAATCTTCCTCAGCGACTCATTCAGGTCTTGGCTATCTTCTCTCTTCTCTTGTGGATTTTCTTCTAGCATTGTCACGTCGTTAGTTTTTCTAGTGTTTTGAGCTGTTTCATTTGGAGCTTCAAGAGATTGACAGTAAAGTGGAAACCCAAGTCTGAGAAAATCCCTGGAATAAAAAGTTTGCATTTGGTGAATCATACAAGGGAGCAAAAAGTAAAAGAAATAATTGCTATCCAAGTTTTCAAACTGATATCTCATGAAGGTTCTCTATTTATTCATTTGAGACTTTCAATAGCTAAGTACAATTAATCTTTAAAAGTTGTCATCACTTGTGATCACAGTTGAGCAAAATCGTATTAATTCATCAATTTTCAACGTTACTGGTAGCATAAGGGAGGTTCCGCTAAAGTGGGTTTTTAAACAGCGTTACAAACACTAGAGAAAGAAACTTTCATAATTGGCATCAGCCTAGGGAACTTTATCTGACATTTTGTATTTCCTACAAAGAAACAGCTCTAATATTACTGTACCTCAGCACAGTGGGTGTTAATGACTGTGACGCGAGTCTCTCAAACATTCTCTGTAAAGGTGCATGTAGTGGATGCTCTTCAGTGATCAGTGCTGCCTCACATCTGTCCAGGATCTGTTGAGGAAGTCCAGCCTCACACATGACCTGCTGATTGTGTTCACATTTCAACAGGTTCTGGAGGTGACAGATCCAGTACAGCTGTAACTCCAAGCATCCCTGTCAAATAAAACAACATACTCCATTGGTATAACAACATTTTAAGGGGAGCTGGGATGACATTGTGGTGATAGTGCTCGCCTCCCACCAGTGTGGCCCAAGTTCGATTTTGGCCCAGTGACAAATGTGCGTTGAGCATGTTGTTGGTTCCTGAAGGACCGCCAAGCCTAGCACCATACTCATAAGAACCCATGAATTGCTTTTTCTCAAGGTGATCATGGCTAGTGGTATTGAGGATGTCCAACAACAAAGACAAAGTTGTGCAACATGGCAGCCATACCCCAGCTAATAGGTTGACTGAGACATGCAGCCTTGGTTTACAGCGTACATCTTGGATATTAGACATCCATGTTTTGGTCAAGTAACACCTGTCAAAACAAGGTATCTGCTGACCAGTATCATGTGACCATATACGTGGGCTCAAGTATAGAGCTCGTTGAGGTCATAAGTTGTTTTGAAGTTGACTGCTGTCCACGTACTGGTTTTCAATTGAATCCCAGGCTCAAGCCAGGTTCACTTATTGTAATCAGGAGCCCCACTTTTAGGCTTGGCTAAATCTATATATTACCCCTATAATGATTAATATTTGTTGTTCTAAATACTTGTATACCTCTGATAAAACAGTGCCATTCATCTCTGACACAGCTGGTAGCAGATCAACAGCTGCCTTCACTGCCCCAGGATGGTAAATGTACGGTATACCCTGACCATTTCTCCCTGTTTGTGTTCCGTTTGAGTCCACTGGTATTATGCTTCCACTCTTTAAACAAAATGAGTCTGTGGCCATGTCAAACAGGTTCTTGAACATCTCATTAGCAGCATAAAGCACTGAGGATGGATCAAGATCTAGAGATCCCTCAAATGTCATTGAAGATCTGGTTGAGTCAACACTTGCCCGAGCAGACAGTGGTATGTGTTGCAAGGACTGTGAGAACTGTCTTTCACACAGTCTCCATTTCTTCTGCTCTTCACCTGAACTACATGATGGAATATTGACAGCATTCAAGGAGAAGCAGCCTAGTAAACGGATAGTGTCTGACAGCCCTCTGAATCGAATCTATGTGATAACAAAATAAACAATAAACTTGAATTTGACAACTTGTGATTTGCTCAATGACTGATTACTTAACTGATTAATTGACTGACTGACTGACTGACTGACTGACGGATGGACGGACGGACAGATGGATGGACGGATGGACAGACTGACTGATTGACTGACTGACTGACTGACTGATTGATTGATTGATTGATTGACTGACTGACTGACTCACTGACTGACTAACCCCCGCTTAGCTCAAGGTCTGGATACACCACTGCATTAATTCATTGATTCATTGAATGATTCACTCATTGATTGATTCATTGATTGATGGATGCAAGCTGTCCACAGTCATGTTACTTTCTTGACTATTTACCCGTGATTGTCAAAGAAATTAACAATTAGAAGTAATCACATCTATCCTGTATCCTCTGTAATGCTGAGCTGGATTAACTATTTAATAAACTTCAGTTGTCTTTTCTTGCACATGTGCTTCTGATTTACAATGATTTACTATAAATGACAATGTTTATTAAATTGAGTGGAATTACATGTATTACCAGATGGAGATAACATTACCAATAAACTAAAAAAAAATAAAAATAGACAAGAACTGGTAATACCTCATCCATGAAATTCTTATTAGCAGGATCATCTTGAATAGCAGCTGTCAGAACATGGAATACTGTTCGCAGAAGAATGAGAATTTCTCTTCTCATAACTAAGAGGAAACAGAAAACACACATTCAGTGAGGCTAGCGCAGGGCAAAGAACTGTCCTAAATAAAATAGCAATATAATTGTTGAATATAATTTAATATACATGTATACTGTAATATTGTAGGAGATGATTGAGAAAAATCAATGAAAGTATGTATGTGTGTCTAGAATCTATCAATTTCCCCAATTGAAAAAAAAAGGATACCATAATTATGCAATATTTAGTATATGCAGTTTGTGTGGTACATGTACTTGTAATAAGTGGTATCAATTCATCGTATCTCCAATTTGGAAAACTAAAAAATATTGATAAATTTATGTTAAATTATGGAATCAACACCCACATATACAAGAATTCCCTACAAAATAATTCTTAATGATACGAAGTACACGTATGCACACTGTAGGTCCTTACCATCAATCCATGTCGGAGACGTTGGATTGGCTAGACTCCCCTCCATGTTTATCAAAACTGACATGACGTACACAAAACCTCCAACCTCACGAAACACAGCTCGTGTTCTAGGGTCAAGATCAAACACCTTCAGCAGGGCATCTAGTACGTCAGTCTTCAGCTTTACCTCTGACTGAGGAGTTGAATGCATCAAGCTAAGGAGAGTACCTATGATCAAAACAAAAAATATAATTTATGCTGTTACTATAAAATAATGTGGCTAAATGTAATTTAGGCAAAGTTAATCTCGAGCCAATGTGGTCAGCGGTCACCACCATTTGTGTAAGTGACCTGCTGGGTGACCTCAATAGCTTGCTGTTTGCCTCGTATTCCACATATGTCTCATGTCGCATTGCAGCTGATTTTTGCATATCATTTGCATGTACAGCTGATCTTTGCGGATCTCTGGCTGCGGATATTTCAGCAATAGCTTATCTGTCTTTGAATCTTTGTGGATTCTTGCTCCCAGCCCTCCTGCACTCATGATTCATGGGTTCAAGTAAGCATAGGGTTACAGTGTAGATATTTTTCCACTGAACACCTTTCAGTGACAGTTGCACAGGTGGTTCCTGCTCACAGGGTTGCCATGGATACCACCCTGCTGTGCCTGAAGTGTTCAGGCTCCTTGCTGACCTATAAGGCACCAGTTCCCAAGCTCATCTATTTAGACTGGTGATGAGTTTAATAGCATGTATTAACAATTTTGTGGGATATTTTGTATCATTATCAAAGGCATGTTTAAGCGTTGTTAAAGTATCATTTAGGATCCTGGCTTAGCTACAACTTATAGCAAGACAACTAGGTCATGGTTTCAAAGTGAGTCTTGCATATGAAATGAAAAATAGCTCATGCCTGAATGTTCTCTTACCTAGATCATCGTTTCCGCCACTGAGAATCAGTTCCCTGATGATCTTCAAAGCCTCTGTGCGTGAGCTGGAGTATGGTACAATGTTATGCACACAGCGAGCACCTCCACATTCACGGAACTCAGTGGCATTTGTGGAATTGTTTTCCAGTAGCAATCTGAGACACCCCATCAACAGAAATGGGTAATCAGGAACGTGGGTTTCAGCATCGTCAAACTCATTCATGTCCGCCTGGCAAGAAGCAGTTTTCAGTGTTTCTGGTTGAGAAAGAGTTGAAAATTAATTTCTGAGTACCTACTTAGAGGGCTATACTTGAAGAATGCAGAGGTTTTATTAAAATTTTCAGCTGGAAGGCAACTGGTTTTCAAAGGTGAGCAAAACATTTTGAACTGAGTTTCTTTCAATAATAAGAAAAAATTCCTAGACCTCAATGGTCAAACCAGGCCAACAAAATCGTCCTCATGGACAGTCAATTTGCTCGGTACCCAACCCCTACTGAAACCCTGAAACCCTACCAAATCTAAGAAAATTTTGATATATCTCAACATAAACTGTATACACTGTGAACTCTCATACCATCATATTTTTCCTTCAAAACATCAGCGTACTGCTTCAGACAGTTTGTGAGAACTTCCAGTACTCCAACCTCTCTGAACACGTTTTTATACTTGGGATCATAACTCAAAATGCGAATGAAAAAGCACAATGCAGCTTGGTGAAAATCACACACCCTAACAAGAAAAAAAGAAAATATTTCATTTGGAAGAGTGTGTATGAAGGGCTGGTCACACTTGCCTTACTAGAAAATAACAATGCAACATTACAATTTAAAGAAAAAGACAAAACTTTTAAGTTTGAACGACATGTTTCGACAGAACGTACTGTCATCTTCAGTTGATTGATGTACAAAGCATTGGAAGAAAAATTTATAATACATACTAGAAAAATGCTAATTGTGATGAATAGTGAAGATGACAGTACATGCAGGCTCTGTCAAAACATGTCTTTCAATTCTTTAAATTCTTGGCTTGCCTGCTATTATCAAGACCCTTTGGAAACAACTGTTACATTACAATTACATTACATGATCAGCTGACAAAGAGCTTAGCTTGAAACATATGGTAGGCTCATTGACAAGCCCAACAAGCTTTTCTGGCCTTAACAGCTTCAAAGTTGACCAAGTGTTTTCTAGTGAACTTTAAGCCGAATTCAATGCCTCGATCACCCAGTAAAATTAGCCAGCAGCCCACCCTTAGTAGCATTCATGATAACAACCATTTTTTATGTTGACTGGGCCATGTGGTGGGGTTCTACATTAAGTCTGTTTATTTGTAATTTACTTCTTCTTTACTTCTTCTTGAAGTTTTGTTTTAAATATAATATTATTATCTTTTTTTGCTCTCACTGATGGATGGCCTAAATTAACTTACTTCAGGTTGTTCTTGAAAAGAATGCTGACAGATATCAGCTCAGGACAGGGAACCCAGTTCAGATTACAGATCACCAATTCCAGCAGTTTGAAAATTCTCTCCTGCACCTCAGTGTCTTTTTCTGGCACTGTTCCAACAAACAGAGACAATGTGTGTTGTGGTTCCAAAATGAAGTAGTTTGCATTGTCCGAGCAGTAGATGTTGTTGATGCAATCCAGAATATTTAAACAAAGGAGTTTGTCTGTTGTCTGCAAAATACAAAAACATCAATAAGCAGGAGAGAAGCCAGTGCCCAAAGAAAGTCATGCCCAATAACCCAGGCTAGTAGACTTTGCAGACAGGTTAATGGTTTCTGTCCTACACTTTCCTGACAGGCAAGTGAAGATTTTTGGGGAAAAATGTTTGAGGAAATTCTAAGTACAGAATGAAGTACCAGGGCTGTAATAAGTTTTGATTCACCTGTAACCTTGATCTTCACAACTGTACAAACTTGCTACTTTTAATTATGGGTGAATTGTACATGTATCAGCTACAAGCAAGTTCACCCCTAACATCAAAAGCCAATCAAGCATGCTTAGCCATGACAGATGCCTCCCTTATTGACAGCCGTGAGTACTGTATCAATGAAATTATTGTATTAAATATTCAATTTTGATTTTTCGTCTTCTTTTTTTGGGGGGGGGAGGGGGGAAATGCATTGGAAGCTAGTGAGAATGAGTCACTATGTTTCGGGCTAGTATATCAAAGTTACAACTTGCCCTAAGGGCAAGCTCAAATACTGGTTTTCTTGGCACCCTGGAAGCATTTTATAGTTATCACTGTTTACAGTGGAAATTTTTTCATCACTCTTTTACCTTGCAAAACACACTTTGTAGAACTTGAAATGCTTCAATGTTTCTGACACTACTTCCTGCAAATGAATTGCGAAGATGTGAAATACCGCTTGGAAAAAACCTTTTCCTAAAGTTTAAGAATGGGGCTCAACATTCATTCAACAACCAAATACAGTTCAACCCCTATTAAACGGCCACCCTTGGGGAAATGGATAGTGGTCGCTTAAAGGGGGCTGGCCGCTCAATAGAGGTAAAAACATCATAGAATTTAAGCCCTCACTGGGACTTCGCTTACTAGCTGCCTAATGTGGGTGGCTGTTTAACCACTCTACTGCCTGTATGATGTACTGAGTACGTCATGCTTCTTACCCTTCACATACCTTCTTGACCTACTGAGTACATCAAGACTTTGAAGGCTACAGTCAAATCATTGGCACATGAAATGTAAAACCCTTTGGCCTATGGGATCTTTGCTACTTGGGAGATTGGTAACTATTAGTTACCAGTCTGCCAGAAGAATGTTCTTGGTTTCGTGTCTTCATCTAACAAAGACAATATTGCTCAGTATTCTGCAGAAAGCAGTGACAATGAAACTTCTGATGAAGGGGATGGTAGGAATCGTGTGAACTGTGTAAGGCAAAGACCGGCAAGGCAACAACAAGCTCCCCTTGTTTGGTTAATTGCATGTGGAACAACACCATGTGATGTTCCATTCACAGGAAATTCTGGTATACAAGTACAGATGGTAGGGTTTGAACCACATGATTACTTTGCCCTATTTATCAACGCTGACTTGCTCCATTGTTTTGTAGCAGAAACTAATCGCTATGCAGACAAATTTATATTTGTACCCCCACAATTTTACTAATTTATGTTAATTTTTATATTCAGATGACATCATCAGGTATTAAATGTCAAAAATCAATAACTGCTTAAGCTCAAAATATAAGTTTTTTTATATCAGTTTCAGAAAATGTATACTTTTCTTGGGTTAGGTTCTATTGTTAAAGAGTTAACTACATTTGATTCGAGGCAACTTTAAATACCTCAAAAAGAGGAAAATAGGCTTGGCACAGGGAGTAACATAGGGGCTGGCAGTGAAGGGGTTAATAGGTGGCTGCTTAGTTGGGGTTCGACTGTAATTCTACATACTGGCAGGCATTTGATAGCAAACCAAATGCCGCACCTTAACATAAAGCCAAGTTTACATGTAGCAAGGCACTTTGCAATTTTGTGTAGTAAACATACCTCCACCAACTGGTTCAGGAATTTCAAATGCAGGGTCCTGAAAGGGAGTGCCACCGATACTGACAAGAGGTCTCAAAGTCACATGACCGATCATGACAAGTGACGATACAAGAAGAACAACATTCCTACAAGCTTCCCGTGCTTCATTCCCAGTCATCTCGCCGAGCATTAAGAGTAATTCTGTCAAAAACAGGTAACCATGACAACTTCGAAAGTCAGCCAATAAATAATGTGAGATGGCGGATGAGTCTTTCAGACAGCAAACTAATGTGACAATCATCTCTACAAGTTCCAGAGGATTGACTTGTTGAATTCTCCTCATGTTCATCAGACACTGAGCAAAGCATGATTTACCTGAAGAAAAAATGATGTACCGGTACATTTCAATGAAACAAATAAAGCTTTTATTGACTTCAAAGATTTAGTGCATATGGAGGACAGCAGCCCACCAACAATTCTAAGGAGCACTGTATCCCCTGACTTTTTCCATAACCAGGGAACGCTGTCTATGTCTCCTTTGGAAACAATGTTTGATCGTGTTTAATCACCAAACATTTCCCATTTGGACAGGGCTTAAAACTTAAGTTTAAAAATGCAAAAACTGATGAATATATTTTGTTTATAATAAATTATTATGTTTTGAACAAGCAATCAAGTCTATTTTACAGTAAATGCATTTTCACAATAATTATTTCTTTCCAGCCTACTGTGTTTTGCAAAGCTTATTTTGTACTGTGTGACAAACTACATGTTATTTATAGGCATGACCTACTTAAATACTGAGTAATTCAATTTTAATCTGTTTGATCGAAATTACAGTAATTCCTCCAATTATTTGTTTTGAAAGCGATTGACATGAAATTCTGTCCAAAAAGAAATATTTAATTTGAATAATAATGCGATAATTTTCTAATTATTCTCTCCTATGAAACAGCTTTTTACATAATAATTATTCAGACTTAACTAACACAAAAATAAATCACTTCAGAAGGAATCAGTGATTTTGCACTGAATTCATAAAATATTCCCAAATTTGAATATGAACAACTCGCCAATGTTTGAAATACAAACCAACTTGGACATCAAAACATGCTTAATTATTAAAAATTAAGCTTATCGGGAAAATAGTCACAACAATACAGATTTTACAACGATGTATTGAAAAGCGGTGTCTTGGCAGACAATAAAAGCAATTAGGCATGATCCAAACTTACTGTGAATGTAGTGTACCACATCCCTGTCTAAACCATGGCGAGTTAAAGTCATCAATATTTCGGACACGCAACTTCTCCACTGTACATTGTGTTCAGGAATCGAACATGATATTGCCGTGAACAGCAAGGCGAGATCATCTGTGTGTACAAGCTCGCGTGACGTAGCGAAATAATTGCACAGTTTCACAAGCACTTGAGTGTACAGTTTTTGTATCGTTAGAGCATCGTCCTGAACGTCTTCCGTACTCTTTTCATTGGTTTTCTCGAGAGGAGGTAAATCGTAGAATAAATAAAGACATTTGACCATATTTGAGGGTAAACTCGCAGCGACCATGCATTCCACAACAGGAGTATCTGCCGAAGCGAGAATATTCAATGTGTTCAGTAGATTCCAGCCGGAAACAGTGTCCTCTGCAGAATCACGCATTAGAAAGTCAATAATCATTTTACTAGCAGTTTCTTTGGGCTGGTTTGCCGCTCTACGGCGAATTTCGTTCACCATAAGTCGAGAAACATGTGCCGCAAATTGGCAAACATCGCCAAATTTCTCAGTCATACTGCTTGGTTTCGCTTGTCCAAACACCTTGCAGAACAATGGTAGCATCATATACAGCTTCGATTCCTGTTCTCGCACAGTTAGTGGTACAGGTGAATGAAGGAATTCCATAAAAAGCTTTCGTAAATGCCTCAGTGAAAGAGCTTCATCCTCGGTCGATTGATGAATGTTCGACACAGGTCGGCCCGGTCTACCAACAAGCTTTCGAACAAACTGCATTTTTGCGACCCGTTGAGGACGACCGTCAATATCTAGAGGTTTCTTGTACGTCTAACATTCCACAGGGATAAAAACTGAATAAAATACCGTGGCCATAAGCCAAGACTTGCGTGAGAAACCTCATAAACAATCTGTACCACTGTCCATTTTCTTGTTCACCTTCCTGAAACTGTGGTTCATATCTCCATGGGGCTACCCGCTGATCACAAAGCGCCGTGCGACTTTTCGTTGCGAGTTATAAGAAGTGCTTTTCATCAAATTTAGAATTTTCCAATGCAATGAATTTTGCCGACAAAATACCTTCGCCTCACCGTTTACTTATAGTCGGTGCAGGATTCACGGGATCGGTAACAGCTTCGTTACTTCGCCGAAAGTTTCCAAAGGACGTCTTAAACATTACCGTTTGGGAGAAGTCTCGAGGTGCTGGTGGACGAATGACTACCAACAGGAACCCCAGTGATCCACGATGCACTGCCGATCTTGGAGCCCAATACGTTTCAGCCACGTCGGCTTATGCAAAATCACACGAAAGGCAAGTAGCCTATATTAATTTAATGCTGTCACCTGCGTTAACCTCTCTGTGCAGAGGGAACACCTCCACTTCCTCTCAACCACAACATCCACTATAGCACTGTCGACGCCGCTTTAAGCCTGTGAAACAGCCGAACCAACCGGGAGTTGTTAGATCATGTGTTCTAATGGCATCCGCGGTCGAGTGTCGATCAATACACGGGCGGATACATTATTTTTCAAAGGAGGGGGTGCACCACTAAGGAATGGCGTAACTGAGTGGTGGGCTAGAAGTAAACAAATTTTAAAAACGAATATGAAGAAGAAAGCTTCATCTCAGAGGGGGGGCGGGGGGTGCACACCTCCTGCACCCTTCCCCTAGATCTGCCCTTGTGACACCCTCGATCAACACTCAATCTTTACTTAAATGAAGCTCAATCAACACCTCCGTTGACACTTGATCAAAACTTAATCAACATCTCAGTCATCAGTCAGTCGATAGTTCACCAATTTTTGCAGACACCCCTTGACAACCCATCGAGAGTCAATTGATGGATACATATTAGTCGGATGACACTCTGCCAACTATCGACCAACTGTCGATAGAGTGTTGATAGAGATGTCGCTCAAGTGTCAATCTAGTGTCGGCTGAGTATCGATCAGGTTGTCGATCTAGATGTTGATGGAGTGTCAACTGAGGGTTGATTGAGGGTATTGATTGACAATCAACAGCAGATGTCTTCAGTACACATGATCCAGACTGTCAACACCACCATGAGCTTGTGAAACAGCTGAACTAGCGAAGAGTTTTTTAGGGCAGCTGCATTCAAAGGCTAGCCAAGAAATTGAAGATATCTTAACAATGAGGTAATATTGTTCCCTGGGAGTTTTTCTCTAAGTGTCACCCATGGGGGGCACTATCTTGGAAACAACAATGTGGTGGTATGTGGAAACCCCTAAACTTTATGTTAAGTTAATATTAATTGATGACTTTTTTCTACATGTTTACAAGTCAAAGTTAACTTTAGTGATTGTTCTCTAGCTTCTATCAGGAGCTGATATCTTCTAATGTGTTGGTACCATTTAATGGAATCATTGAGGGAGAGAAAAAACAAAATGGAGTTAAACACTTTGTGGCACCAACAGGAATGAGTAGTATAGTCAAACATTTTCTGCATTCTTCAGGTGTGTGACTCCCTCAGTTACCATAATGATTCGATTTAGCAGCCTCCTTCCAATAAGCACCCCCCTTTTGAATGTGTTTTTATTATAAGTGCCCTTATTCCAATAAGCGCCCCCATTCCAACAAATGCCCCTGTTCTAATATTATAATATTACAGCGCCATCAGAGTACATATCAACAACAGTTCATCTTCCTTAATTACGTCTTAATTGCTCACACACGGTATGCCGCGTTACATAAACATTGGTCTTCGTCTGAGTTTCTACACCACTATGTCCATGTGAGTGCATAATTCCTTCAAACGAATGATCTCTATCGGCGTCGAAATAGATTAAAATTCCGTCAGGTTAACTGAACGTTCACTGTATGTTTGTTACTGTTACAGTTTCTGTTATTGTTCGCTTTTTTTAAATAAATACCGTTTTAAAGTTCTTTTTTGAACGTTCTGTTGTTTTTCAAAAATGAAATAAGCGCCCACGCGGGCGCACCGAAACACCCACAGTTGGAGATTGAGCCTAGAATAAGTGCCCTGCATGGAATAAGCACTCTCCCTCGAGGTACCAAAAGTAAATAAGTGCCCCGGGTGCTAAATCGAATCATAACGGTATGTCTATATTGTTCATCATGATATCTCTCTGTTAGTACGCGCGCTGTGATCGGTCAATTTAGCGGGCCATAATCTGCTGTACGGCCCGCTAAAATTTAAAGCTCTTTTTGTTGCCTAAATGTTTCGTGATTTATCGCCAAGTGTTCTTAACGTTTTTAGCAATTAAAAGTTTAAAACTTTCTTTTACTTCTGAAATTGCGTATTAAAACCTGCTAACGACGTAAGAGACACTTAACAACGGTTTCAAATTGAGTCATGTTGCTTTCGAAGTGCGTCAGAAATTTGAAGCCGTTCTGCGTGAATAGAAATCGTTCCTGAGCCCATCACATACACAGTAGAGATATAATAAATATCTTACTAACCTCGTCTTCTCGGTCCGTAGTGTAAGTTACGGATTCTCATTTTTCCCCACTCGGTCCGTAACTTGCATTACGGCCCTCGAACTCGGTTAGGAAGAGGTACGTAAAAACACGTATTAAACTGCATTCTTATTATTTGTAGACTATAGACTACATGTATAAGGCTGAGATTTTTTCTCTGACAGCCTGAATCTTCTTCCTTTACTCCTTTTACTACGTACTGCAAAAGTAGTTGTGAAATTTTTTTGCCTATGTGATTCAAAATTGTTTTATTTTTAAAACACAAATAAGGGATACTTATAGGGGTTTTCGAGATATTTAGAAACTTTCTTTGTGATATTTAGACAAATTTCCAGAAGTATTTGTCCTGTAAAAGGAGTACTGTTTTGCGTTCCTTTCAGAATCTAACGTCTTCTACGAGAAGCACTGCAGTGCAATCAACACACTTGAAAAACCAGAGAACAACTCTCGTATCGCCAAAACATGGCAGGTCACAGACCTTAAAGAAAACTCTTCGGAATTTGATTCAGTTATTGTCACCATACCAACACCACAACTTTTAAACTTGAAGGGCTCCATTCAGGATTTCCTACAAAGCGAAAGATCTTCCTTGGAAACTGTGCAATATTCTTCGCGATACGCTGTAGCGTTGTATTTTGATCAGGGAGTGAAAATAGATGTCCCGTGGACTTGTAAGTACGTGGTGGACAGTCCATGTGTAAGGTTCATATCCGTGGACTCGAGAAAGAGATTTGGTAAAGGTAAGCGGACAGTTGGAGCTAAACCAGACCCCAAGGTTGATCTAGTTTTAATAAGCTCTAACGCTGACAATTCTCGCGCGCACGGCCATCCGGTTTCACGGCCTTAGCTTATTATTCAAGAAGCTGTTTCAGTCATTAGGGAGCTCAAGCAATGACGACGGCAACGCCAAGGACGACGGCTGGAAAAAATGGACTTATATTTTACCGCTGAATTTCGCAGTTGTCTAAACTGTTCTGTGAGCTGAGCAGTCGGAAACCTTATCTACACTGAAGATGTAGCGCCAGCGATCAATTCTAGGAGAAAATGCGAAAAATTAGCCGTCGTGGCTCACGTGTTTCAAGATACGCACAACTTGATCATTTCACGTTCTTGCTTTGCAGAGGACGACAAAGAAATGTACAAAGATTTGTAACGCAGGTGTACAGCCATTGTTTTTCTCGTTAAAGCCTTTTGTTTGGTGACTTTCTCGTTGCCCTCGTCGTCGTTGTGGTTTGCTGAAGCTCAAAAGCTCCCAAACCGGCGAGTGGGG